GGTCCTCAACAAACCTGGGCCAGTCATTCTAACCGACAGCCTAAGTGTATCTTTGTGGAAGAGTTACTGTCCAGCTCCTGGTGATTATTATCAACATGAAAGTCATCCAGAATTTCTACTAATATAGGGCTTAATTAAGGAGAAAAAATTATTTTTCTGTCTTGTGACTAAGCAGAAGAGTAATGTCTCATGGCAGAAGGACACTGGCTGAGAGAGCTTTTCTGCCAACAGGATTATAAATCGACTATTATTAATGTTTGCTCTCCTGGAGAGCATTAGTTGCTGATTCACGGTACTGTGCTCTATCTTCTTTTATCCTGGGGCAGTACCTTGGCCCCAGTGCTATTTAAGCTCAAAGCTTCTCTAAAGACTAAAATATATTTAAGAATGGCTCTGGAATCCAGCTTTAAAACCACTTATGACAGGACGTCATGATTATACGCTGAGGGATTTCTAGGTCAAATTTGTTGAGACATTTTCCATTTTGCATATGTGAGCAAAAAAATTGGTCTAAAACTTTATCGTTCTAGAGATGTTTTCCTTTCCTATGAAAGAAAAAAGTCCTAAAACACACTGTAATTCTCCAACACCCCCCCCCCCCACCCTGCAATTCCTGGTTTTGTTTGTTTGTTTGTTTTCAACTCCTGGTTTTATTCGCCTTTTCTAGAATTTCGAGGATACTCCAGCTCCAGTGTGGGCCAACTATCAGGACGGTCACATACAGTGGAGCGGGTTGAGCACTGTACTAGGGAGCCACCTCTAAGAGGGTACGGTTTGCATCATAGACATCTGAGACTTGTGTGCTTATTGTGATGATTTTTCCGGAAGAATCAGCAAAAGGTGTTGTTCTAACAACATCCGTATATTACAACCAACTCCTAGGGGTAAACAAAAGTATCTTGAGGAAGGGGCACGTTTGCCTCATTCGCAGGGAGCTCCATGTGGGGTCGCCCCACCTGTGTTTTGCTTCGGGTCACACCTGGGATTCCAGAGTGTGGTTTCCTACGGGGGATGCTGCTCCCCCCACCCCCGCCAAGGGCGCCAGCGGAGAGGTGGTCGTGGGCCAGGCCCCCATCCTGTTCGATGGTCTGCTCGCTCCCCATCAGGACCCCACAGGACTCGACGGTTGTGTGGGACTTCCCTAACCAAGGGTTGCTGCGGGGCCTCACGGTCTGGCAGGGGAGGTTAACGGTGGTCTCGGAAGACGAAGAAGCCGCACAGATCCCAGAGTTCCGGACACGAGGCTGCTTGTCCACCGGACAACATGGTTCACCGGCCTGATCCCGTTGCCCTAGGGTGTCGCATGGGGGCTCCACGGAGGCTGCTCGGGCCCGTGTCCCCCAGGTGGTGAGAGTCGGGGGAGCAGGGCCCCGGCCACCGCTGCCGTCCCGGGCTGCAGGGCACTGGGGGGCTGGCGGTGAGCGCGAGCGGCCGGCGTGGCCGCGGAGGCTGCTGAGATGGGCGGCCGGCCCGTGGGGGCGCTTGCGAAGCGCCCTCCTCCCGGCTCTCTTTCAATCGAGAAGGGGTGCGTAGACAGCGACTTGTCGCAGACACGCGTGTGCTGCGGGGGGTCGGGTGTTGGCTCTGGAAACCACAGCTGCGCTCGGTGGCGGGAACGGACCCGTGCGGGACCGTGAGCGGAGCTTGTGTCTTGCTTATCTCCGCGAAGGGCTCCTGTGTGTTCGCCCCAGTGGAGATGGGTGAATGGGTGAGTCACATGGAGGCCAGGTCATGAGACAGCGGCGACCTTCGTTTTTTTTTAAAGATTTATTTATTTATTTTAGAGAGAGCCTGCCAATGAGCGTGAGAAGTGGGGGAGGGAGGGGAGGGGATAGAGAATCCCAAGCAGACGCCCTGCTGAGCTCACAGCCCTGTGTGGGGCTCGATCTCACGACCCCGATATCACGGCCTGTGCCAAAATCAGTCAGCCACTTAACCAACTGTGCCACCAGACGCCCCAATGACCTGTTCATACCTGTTTGGTCGCTCAGCTGGAATGAGGAGGTCACACTTATTGTTAAAATAGTTCTGGTTGCTGTTGTCATATTTATAACCTCCCCCCCCCACCTTGCCCAGTGAGACAAAGCCTCTGCTGGTGCTGGTGACACTGAGATGAGGAAGATGGGATCTGTGTCCTCAGAGTCCTCCCCGTGTGGTCGAGACTCTCCAAATAAGGTCACAGTCACAGGGCTAAAGAGTAGGACTTTGGGGCACCCAGCGGGCTCAGTCGGTTGTGTCTGACTCTTGATTTCAGCTCAGGTCATGATCTCAGGGCAGTGGGATTGAGCCCCAGGTCAAACTCTGCTCAGCAGGGAGTCTGCTTGAAGAGAAGGAAGGTCAGTCCCACGACCCCGAGATCCTGAGAGGCAGAAATCAAGAGTCAGACACCCGCGGGCTTAGCCACCCAGGCGCCCCTGTTACTTGCATTTTTACATTAACAGAAAGTCAATAGTGCTTTTTAAGGAAGCCTCTGATAAGAAACAGCGGAGGGACTAGAGGAGGTAACAGGGATATAATATAAACAAGGAAGTAAACAGGGGAGCTGGACCTGGCCACAGGGCAGGGCTTCCCAAACTTCAGAGAACAGACCTCGATTCCATGCAGTGGGCCTGGGCCTGGGACTCTGCATTGCCCACAGGCCCCCAGCCGCTGCTGCAGGGGGCGGGGCTGCCCACTCTTGGAGTAGAAAGCACATGGGGGTGTAGTAGGACCCGAGGGCCAGACCTGTTCCTGTGTTCGTTTTTGTACGTCCTGCGAATTAAGAATGAGTTTTACATTTTGGAATTGTCCAAAGAATAGTTGTAACCCATTAAAAAAAATAAAAATAAAAAACTTCAAATTTCAATGTCCATCAAGTTTAATTGGGGCACAGACATACCCCTCTTTATTTTTTAAAATTTTATTTATTTTTAAATTTTATTTAAATTCAGTTAATTAACATATAACCTGTTACTAGTTTCAGAGGTAGAGTTTACTGATTCATCAACAGCGTATAACACCCAGTGCGCATTCCATCACGTGCCCTCCTCAATGCCCAACCCCCAGTTGCCTCATTCCCCCCACCTCCCCTCCGTAGTTCCGATATCGTGTATGGCTGTTGTCACAGGCTCAGAGGACAGAGACTAGGTAGAGCCTAGAATTCTCACTCTGCAGAGAAGGTTTGCGGAGCCCAAGCGCAGCCGCCCAGACCCGATGCGGCCAGCAGGGGGCAGCAGAGAGCCGTCTGCGGCCCGGCCTTCCCTGGGACCTCCCGCGGGGTACTGGGAAATGGGGTGTAGGGGACTAACCAGAGTTGAGGATGGAGATAGGGACCTGAGGTAGAAACGCCCGGGCAGTGGGCGCTAGGAGATGAGGTGGGGGTAAGCCGGAGTGAGTAGAAAGTGTCTGTGCGGGGAGAGACAGTGGGCAGGCCGGGTGGGCCCAGGCGGGTGTGGAGGCCCAGGGAGGCTGCGTGGGGCTTGGACTCTGGGCCATAGCAGTGAGGAGTCACTGAAGGGCTTTAGGCCGTAGTAGGATAGCATCGATGGGAGAGGGCGCTGTGCCAGGTGGCTGTGCCTTGGGGACACTGTCACCACAGTCCAGGGACAGGATGGCAAGCGTCTACAGCAGGCAGACCGTGGGAAGGGAGCCAGCGCCCACGGTGAGCGCACCGGCCGGCTCATGGGCTCAGAGCTTGCTGCCCCTTGGGTTCTGCGTCTTCACCCAGGACACCCTGGATGGTGTTACTGATTTTTCTTTTTCTCTGCCTTGTTTTTCTCTGCTTTCATGACAACGACCAGGAGGTGCTCAGGTTCAGTTCTCTTCCTTCTGGCCTCGCTGCTCTCTGTCCAGGCGCTCGAGCGGAGGTGGGCTTCCCCCCGTTGCAGGCTGATTCTGCGGGTGCAGCTCTCGGCCCTCGGGGAGGCCTTTCTGATCTGTCTTAAACACGCTTTTCTTAATGGTGGGGAGGGCTCATGAACTCCTTTGAGAATCTGGTGAACTCCATCACCAACCCCCCAAAATGCACACAGACAGGTGGTTTCAGAGTTTGACATGAGAGTTCGGGGCTCTCCCACTCCCTGAGGCCGGCTCCAGTGAGGAACTCCTCCCCTGGGGGGTCAGCCGCCTCCTGTCTTTAGGGTTTGGGCCTTGATATCAGAGACGCTTGCCTTCCCCTCCCAAAGTCCTCCCAGCCCTGCTTCTTGTCTGATGGAGATGATATGAATGTGTATGTAAGTCTTTCTATGGAATGGATTAAGACCTTCCCCACACCACACGGGAGCTAGACAGCGTGGCGGCCTTGCATGGGGCAGCGGAGGCCGGGGTGACAGCCCAACCTCTTCCTATGCACTGGGCCAGGAAACATCATGTTCACAGAATGATGGATTTGGAGAGTTCTATTTTTGGGGCCTTAATACATCATAAAATCCCCTTGCCTTGAAACAAAAGGAGTACTATATCAGAAGAGTCTTACTGAGGAAATCATTGGCCTCTGTAACTACAAATAAGTAGATTACATTTTTTAACAGATTAATTTAATCCCCATAACAAGGAATGTTTAAAGGAATATAGTCATGCTATTATTAAATGTTTCCAAAGGACCAATGTTAGCTTGGGAGCTTGGACTGCTTTTCCAATTTTCTAGATTTAGAAACTCTAACCCTATGTCAACTCTTATTAAAAGCAGTCATTCCCAGCGATTATGTGTATGTTCGTGTTTATGAATTCATTTTGAACAACTTTTGTGGGATGTAGTTTATAGAGCATAAACGTCATCTGTTTTTTAACATGTATTTTTAACATATAATATAATTTAATTATTTTTAGCAAATTTACAGGGTTGTGCGACCATTACCACAGCTGAATTTTAGAGCCTTTCTAGCACCCCAAGATGGTCTTCTACTTTTTAACTGTAAGAAGTGGTATTAGAAAAATAATAATTTTAATTGATTATTTCCTGTGTGTGCATCACCAAGGTTGTCTTCTCACTAATGAATGACCTTTGCTGGTATCTCTCCCAGGCAAACACGCGACAGCCGGAGCAAAGCTCTTACAATCTTATCAGGAGCTGAGGTGAGTGTGGGGAGAGGGCGAGGGCAGACCGTCCTGGTCCCTCCAGGCCTGGGGAACAAAGGACGCTGAAAGAACTTGAGATCTTTTGACTTTCAGACGTGGCTGCTCTGGAATGTGACTTTTTTTTTTTAAGTGATAAAGTACCTGGAAAAGATTGAAACAGAGGTAGTTCCACATTCTTATGAAGAGCCTTCTTGGGAGCTTGCAGAGCATTTTCTCACTAAAGGTTTTATTTCCTAAATTCTGAAATGTGGTAAGAAAATGAAATATTATTTTTGAGGGCGAAGTTCTAAACCAAGCATTTGCTTTTATGAATCATTCGCATCTCCAGCATAACGCCCAGTGCCTGACGCCTCACAGGCTCCGTGGAATAAAATTGGCAGCAATGAGGCATGGTCTGTGAGATGCTAACTTCTTCTTCTTCTATTTTTAAAGATTTTATTTATTTATTGGAGAGAAAGAGGGAGAAAATATTTGAGGGGGGTGGAGAGAGAGAGAGAGAAGCAGGCTCCCTGCCCGGCAAGGAGCGGGATGCAGGACTTGATCCTAGGACCCTGGGATCATGCCCGAAGCTGAAGGCAGGTGCTTAATGGACTGAGCCGCCCAGGCGCCCCTCCCCCATTCTGATTCCCTTCCTGCGTGATTTTGGCATTCATGGCGTTTTTGGCACTTCTGCTGACGCGGGCTCAGCTGTCCCGCAGGGGACATGCACGTGCGCTGGGCTCCGGAGCGGCCCGGCTCCTTTCGACCACACGCGTGGAGCGCGAGGCCGGGGGCAGCTCAGTGCTCATCGGCCGCATCCCGACACCAGGAAAGGATGACCCGCCCGGAGGAGCAGATCCACGCAGGGCTGCCCGATCCTCTTCTAAAATGTGAGGAAGTAAAAGCAAAAAAAGAAAGATCAGAGAACTTTAACTACAGGATGATGGCGAGTCCCGTGTATTTGTTGGACTAATAGTTGAATCGTTCGTAACCCTTTTCTTACTCCTGTGTTTTTCCTCGGCAGCAAGATTTCTGTGGTTCCTCCGACCCCACCTCCTCTGAGCGAAAGCCAGTGCAGTAGCAGCTCTCAGAGGGTAACGTGTCCGTTCTGTGCGCCTCCCTGGGGACGGGGAAGTGGGAGGGGTGGAGGGAGAAGGGGGTCTGAGAGGTTGAACCAAGGTTGCGGGAGCAAAGGGATCCACCTGTGGGTGAAGCAGGCCATGGAGGCCGGATGTGCTGGGCCTGCCCAGTGCCTGTGCTCCCACCATGCTCTGCGGGCATTAGCAGTGACTCCCCTTCTGTCTGCTCCCCACGTCTTCACCTGTCCCCACATCCCCACCTGCACCCCGCATCCCTGCCACTTTACTCTTGTCATTTTGTTGACTGTCTTCCCTATGTGTGCTCTGCACTCCTTAGTGGGGGGCCTGAATCGGCTGCCGTGTGTCGGGTCTCTGGGGATGTAAAGAGGAATAAACACAGGTTGATTCACAGGTGTTTGATTCATGGGTGTGGGAGTGCTGGTGTGTGTGTGTGTGTGTGTGTGTGTGTGTGTGTGTGTGTTGAGTACTTATAGATGCTAACAGAAAATAGACCAGGACCAGATGCTAATAGAAAATAGACCAGGACCCTTTCTGTCCACAGAAATTAGTGGTGTCATCTTTGGGAGGTTCCCTGGGTTCCCACTTGGGAGGCGGAAATAATTATACTTCGCTAACTTGCTTCCCATGGCTGGTGTGAGAAATTAATGAAATGATGTCTGTGCTGGTACTTGGAAACTGTAAAGTACCATGAAAACGCATGGTCTTGATTATTTTCGTTATTCTTCTTCTTCTGTGAATTGAAGAGAGTAACTACATCTGTACATAGAAGGGCATGTTCATATGTTCGTGAGAGAAAGAGTCTATTTATTCTTTTCCCAGTTTCAAGCTGAGACCCTGGAATGACCTTCAAAATTCTGCTCCACTTTCTCCTTGAGATTCTAGATCTTCTGAAACTGTCCCAGCACAGATGTGCTCAAGACATAGTTCCTGGATGGATGGATGGATGGATGGATGACTGAGGGGTGTATGGATGGAGGAATGGATGGATAGATGGAGGAATGGATGGAGGGAGGGATGGATGGATGGACGGACAGATGAGTTGATGGAGGAGTGGATGGATGGGTGGAGGGATGGATGGGGCAGATGGAAGGAGGGATGGGGAAGGGTAGGGGGAGGGATGGCAGGATGGGACTTGAAGGGGAAAGTGACCTCCTTTCTGTCACTTTTGCTTCCTTTTTCTTCTCTCTCCTGCTTAGCGGGGTGGACTAACTCCTTGGCTCCAGCCTGGTGCTCTGAGCCTGGTACCACCACTGGCCACTGTGTTATGTGCTGTGTTGGCATCCTTTCTGCGTGGAGCTGGGGTGGGGTCATACAAGAGCTGGTTAAGGAAGCAGGAGTCCACCTGAGTACGGTCTGAGCCCGCGGAATATCGGGCGTTATTCCCAGGAGGTAGTTGTCACCATGTCAACACCCCTGCTGATGCCCCTTCCCGAAAGGCGGGTGTCTAACCTCAGAGGAAGGCGTCTGAGTAAGAGGGTCCCTGCCTCCTGAGAGGCTTGTGCTCTCCCCTCCACAGACATGCACGCACACACACCTACACGCACCCGGAGCCCGTGCGCCTCGCTCACACCTGCCGGCATTGGGGGTTGGCAGCCTGGAGGCTGCTGGGCAGACACGAGTTCTCAGCTGTAACTCTCATTCTCTCTCCTCTGTCTCTGTTTTAGTTACAGGAACTTGGTCAGTTTAAAGGATTTAATAAATCCGTGGAAAATTTGTTTCTGTCTGTTACCACCCACATGAAAAGTAAGTGGACGCCCCTGCATGTGTTCTCCTCACTGCCGGCCAAGGGGACCTCTCTGTCTCCAGCTCCTGGGGAGAGCCAACACCCCAGCCCTTCACCCTCCACCCGCAGAGGCGGCCTCTGGTTTCCTGGGAAAAGAGGAGACACCCTTCAGCCCACTGGCCTCAGTTTACCCCCACTGCTGCCCAGACCTGCCAGAGCTCAGCACATGGTGGGAAGCAGCTGGCATGGACCAGTATGGGCAGTTGCCCCAGCCTGTCCCAGGGCCCCACAAGGACAGTGGGGTGGGACAGCTCTGGGGAATGAGATCTGGGAGCTTTCCCGCCAGGCACGGCCCGGTGTCTGTCCTTTGCACAGAACTGCTTGTCCATTCTTCTTTCCATCTTGGCCAATTTATCTTGCTCAATGGGCAACAATCATGTGATTCGCAGACGTGAGGAGCCCAGAACTCCCACTGCTTAGAATCCTGTGTCTTTCAGTGTCCCTCTGCTCGGATAGTCCTTCCTGTTGATCTTTTTTTTTTTTTAAGATTTTATTTATTTATTTGACAGAGAGAGAGAGATCACAAGTAGGCAGAGAGGCAGGCAGAGAGCGAGGGGGAAGCAGGCTCCCTGTCGGGCAGAGAGCCGGACGTGGGGCTCGATCCCAGGACTTTGAGATCATGACCTGAGCTGAAGGCAGAGGCTTAACCCACTGAGCCACCCAGGTGCCCCTTTCCTGTTGATCTTAAGCCGCAAACTGCATACAACAGCCCAGGCCCGCGAGGGTGCCCAGAGAGAGGGTCCCGTGGGGCAGCAGAGGGTTTCAGGGACCCAGTCCCTTTTACCACGCTTCTGTTGAGCTTCTGCCCACGCCGGTGGGTGTGGATGGACTCAGTGTTGTCCCTTGGCCTTGAGACAGTCTCATTACTTGATTTTAATTAGTTCTCCGTATTCCCTACGAGCCCTTCTGAGCTGCTTCGTGACAACTGAAACCAAAGCACCACTTTTCAGACAAGCAGAAAGGTGACCGTCCTCAGAGACGGTCTGTCCCCCTCGGCCTCAGGAGGACTTAGCAGCTGAATTGTATGCCGCCTGCTGGCTGGTAGAGGTCGGAGGTTTGGAGTCACCCCTTAGTCTGCCTGGCTCTCGGACGACATCCGCCCTCCGTGCGCGCCAGCCTTGAAGGCCAGTCCCTGCAGCGCCAGCCTTGAAGGCCAGTCCCTGCCTCAGCCGCGGGCTCTGCTCCTGCTGCTGCTCTTCTTGTCCAAACTTCTCCGTGTCGCTTTCTAGAAGCACAGCCTCTGCCTAAATCCACTCGGCTTACGAGAACCCCTCGCACTGCTGTACTCTGGAATCCTGCCTCATCGTTAGTTGGGACCTGGTGACCCCTCAGCCAGGCACCCAGAGAGGCAGGACACGTGTTCCATCTTGTCCTGGGTCGCTCTCAGCCTCCGACACCTGCTGGGACCCACAGGGGGACGTTTGGGGGCTTCCGCGCCCGCAGTCTCACCTGAGCCACACCCTCATGTTCGACACTTGCCAGCTGAGCACCTCGGGTGCTGGGACGATGCCGTCCATGCAAACCAGCAGACCCGAGGGGGCAGCTGGGGCTAATTCCCTGGGGGGCGGGGGCTTCGTGGGAGCAGAGCTGCATCTCTTCTCTGCCGTGGGACACGGATTGAAGCCCTTAACCTGGGCCCCCTCCCTGCTTGTTCAGGCTCTAGTGCTTCATGGGATGGAGACCTCAGCCCAGGGGTAGGGGCGAATGGGCCCCTGGGAGGGATAGTCTGGCAAGTGCCTCTCCCACGTGCTCCGGCTGCTTGGGGAAAGAGCTCGGCCACACACCCTGCACCCCATCTCTGCCTTAGGGCGCGCAGCCGGGTCGGGGGGTGACTCCTCTTTCTTCTGGTCCTGAGCTGTGGGGCACCTGTCCCTCTTGATCCGTTGTGCAGCTCTTTCTTATAGAAGTGCTGCGGAGGACAGCCTCTTTCCAGTGTCACCTGGGGTCCGTGGGGGGATGGCTGGAGGGGCTTCCTGGCCTGAAGGGTTTGGGGAGCTGCCCCAGAGCAACGAGGTAAAGGGGTGCCCCAGGAAGCCAGTCCAGATGGAAGAACGGAGCCGTCCCAGCCCTTTTTATTACAGCTGCATTTCTAAGAGATGTCAACACCTGGCCCCCTTGAAAGGGAGGAGGAAATAAGAACTATGGTTTTCACTTCAGGGCCCTTCTGCGCTTCTTGCTATTTCTTTTCCTTTTCACCACATAATGCCGATTGCAAGCCTGGTCTTTAGAATCCCTTGGGAGGCACGCCACCTGCCTAGTCTGTGAACGTAGGTGGACCAGATGAAGGCACGGGCTTTGGGGCAGGGGGAGGACACCATCCTTAAGGGGGGGGCTTCACCTCCTGGGGCTCCCCCCTTTGTAGTGGGGCTGGGGTTTGGCTGTATGAGGAGCTCATGTTCACTGTCAGCTTTGAGGGCCCGGTGTGTGCTGGGACCTGCTAGCTTCCTGCGCAGAAGGATGTCCCACGGTCTCTGGAGGGTAGACCCGAGGACAGTGTGGACAGCGGTGCTCTCAGACAGGAGAGCTCCCATACAGCCTGGGGATCCCGGGGGGCAGGGGAGGGTCTCCTCTAGAGAAAAGAGATGCAGATTACGCCCTAGCAGCATGTGCCAGAGACACCGGAGAAATAGTGTCTCGAGGAGCGGACCGGGAGATGGGCAGCTCTGGAGCTGGTCTGTCCCACACGCTAATGGCAGGTGGCTCCTGAGATGTGGCCTGCTAGGAAAAAGGGTAAAATACACACTAGATCCCAGAACTCAGTGCTAAAAATGTCATTAATTGGACAGCACAGGGAAAACAGAATTATTGAAAGAATCTTACATGGGGAAGGATGCTAACTAGTGGGGTGATCATTTCATAATGTCCACCAGAAACTAGGAAGTATTCTGCATCCATTACCCAATTAAAGTTGCATCAGTTTTCATATTGATTATATAGTTTAACAATATTTTGGGTATATTGTGTTCCATGAAATGTAGTGTTAACATCGATCTTACCTGTTTCTTTTTAAAATGTGGCCACCAGAAAATTAGAAATGGCATACGTGAGCCACCTTGTTATCTATGGGAGAGAGTTGCTCTAAAGATAGTTTCAAGGTCATGTTTGAGAGAGTCAAGGACCCCGTGGTGAAGGGAAGACATTTTTGGAGGACAAAGTCATCTCCGAGGGGTTCGCTCGCTTCTGTGTGTGGATTCCTTCTGTCCCACGGTACTCACCTTTATTCCCGACCGCTGTTACGCTGCAAGACTAAGTTGTATTTCCAGGGTTTGCTTATTAAGATAATTGTAGGGGTATCCTGAATTTGCTTCCACCTGTCTTCAAAGGGTCCCAAAAGGTCGTATTTAGGTATAAGTCTTTGTAAGGAACCTCTAAAAGGCTGGCTGGTTTGCTAGGCTGCCTTTTTCATGCTCACGTCTGTGGTCCAGGCTGCATAGTCGGAAGACCTCCCCCTCGCCCCTGCCCTCTCAGTCCCACCCTGACGGAGGCTCTTAGCCCACAGCAGTGTGTGGTCACACAGTCACCTTTTGGGAATCCAGCTCCTCTGTGCCGTGCATGGCTCGGTGGGGCCTGTGTCTGGCACGCCGTGTCTGGGGACGCTCCCTGAGGCCCCAGAGCTGGGGGTTGGGTGTTCCATCCTCCCCACGCTGAAGCCTAGCCTCGGGGGACTTTGGGGGCTCCTCGGGGTGTAGTGCAGGGACTCCCAGCGGAGGGCCCCATGAGTCTATCAAAGCTGTGTGCTCCCACCTGTCTCCCTTGTATTTGTTTTCTAGAGCTTTCCAAGTCCCAGAATGACATGACCTCTGACAAGCAACTCCTGGCCACGGGTCCCAGGCAGTGTGCTAGCCGGACGGAGAGGAGGAGCCTGTCTGACACTGCCATCAACGTCACCACCAGGGTAGTCCCCAAGGCCACAGGGCCACCACCAGAGCCACTTCTAGCACATTTTCTCTGTCGATTTAGTTTCCTCTTATTTTATAGCACCGTATTAAGCAGTCTAGAAAAAACCTTATAATCATAAACCGCTCTGTATCGGGAAGGCCAGGCCAAATGATGGTCAGATTTCAGGGCCGATTTGGAAGATAGTTGAGAGCAGGGAAAAGCTTCAGGTGAATCCCAAGCCCCTGGGGCGGCTCGGAGTCCGCTGGAACTCCCTGCCGGCTTCAAGGCCACCCCAAAGGCAAGGGACCCACCTGTGAGGCCGAGATGGGCCAGGTAATTCCTGGGGTCGAAGACCCTCATGGAGGGTCAAGAGGCCTTCCCACTTCCAACAACCTCCAGTTACAACCTGTCCGGGTCTCAGATAGAAACCCCTAGAAACAGAAACGCTGCATGACCGAGGGCAATCACAAGGGACGCGCTTTCCAGGTGTTTAAACCACAAGCGAGCATGCGGCTCATAAAGGCTTTTAAGGACATAATTACTCTGGCTTTCCACCAGGATTAACCAAGTCTGAAGCAGATGCGCTGGCACAGGAGAGAAAGCGTAGAATCAGAACACCTGGGCTCTGGTCCAGCTGAGGGGACCTGGCTAGGGCAGGTGCCACCACCTAGCTGTTGACAGGGTCAGTAGGACCGCTCTGGCTGGACAGGACAGGGCCCCTTCTCCGCAGCTGCGGGCTCCGCTCGGGACGTCCCCAGACAGCCTGCTCTAGGCAAGCGGATGAAACCAGCCCCTCCTGCTGGAACCTCCACACGGCCTCAAGGTTCCGATTCTGCCTCCATCCGTGACCCTTCACCCCGGGCACGTCACACGAACTCCCTGAGCATCAACATGCTCTTGGCGAAATGAAGATGCTAATACTCGTTCGTAATACTCGTTCATAATACTCGCTCTGTCCCAGGCGCAGGCCGCTTGTAAAGATCCCCGGAGAGAACACAGCAGCTGAATTGCCAGCTAAGCCATCTAAACATGCTACTGGTCTTCCTTACTGTGTGCCAGACTCCACTCCAGGCTTTCCCTGGTCATCTCCTTTTATCCTCACGCTACCCCGTGAACCGCGTATTGCGTTTGGCCTCTTTCGCATTTAGGGAAACTGAGGCACAGAACAATGAAGTCACATGGTCGGGGTTACTTAACCAGAAGGTGGTGGGTGGTCTTGATTTGGAGGCCGAACTCTGGAGCAGCTGTTCTCGAGTTCAGTGTGCATGTGAGTCACTGGGGAATGTTGTTGACAGGCGGAGGCTGAGTCAGTAGGTTTGGGGCAGGTGAGATGCAGAGTCCTCGATGAGCTTCCGAGGAGCTGTTGGGCGAGCAGGTGATGTCGCTGGTGCCCCTGGGACCTCCCTAAATTTCGGAGAAGGCATCTCGAGCCTGGGAGATGTACTTGGAAGGCCTTTTAAACTCTGAAGTGCAAACGAGCGTTCGTGCCTGGGGGCTCCCCAGGGTCCGCACAACACCATCCCCCCTCCCCCCGTCCCTGAGTCAGCACATGGAACAGAGGTTAGCTGGTGTTCGGGGGATACTATGTTCCGGGCTGATGGCAGTGTTTGTCACATACTAGTCACATGTAATTCTTACAAAGGTACTAAGATAGTTATTGTTACTCTCATGATAAAGATCTAGAGCCCAAGCTGTAGCTGGAGGGTAGGCAGTCTAGCCTAAAGCATACATATATGTATCTATAACCAGTAAGATGGGGAGCCAAGAGGAGAGTCGGGTTTGTATGCTCCTAAATTCTATGCTCGTAACCTCCTTGTTCTAAGCCCCACGTAAGGAGGACAAAGGATGAAGCCCCTCTGATCCGAGCCCTCAGTAAGGTTACCAGGCACCGTCGTTGGCTGCTGGGTAATCTCAAGGCTGTCCGATGGGACCCAGGAGCTTGAGGGGAGAAGCAAGGAAGGCCAGGGACGGCCAAGGCCAGAGCGCCCCTTCCTGCAGACACTCACCTTGCGCGTCGGGTTCGCGGCCATGCTCCGGGCAGGACCTGCGGTCTCCTATTTGCAGGCCTCCTCTCTCCCCACCTTACTCCAGGATATGACTGTTTCAGGGAGCAATTTAGCCGCATGTTTATTAAGTCCTCAGCAATCATGGTCCGCTCTATAAATGCTAAATAATTACGGGGTTGAAATATAGAGTGCATCTTTAAATAGGACGTTTGTCAGACTGCAATTACACACGCCCTGGCTGGCGAGCTCAGGAAAGTCACGCTCACGGCTTCACCAGAGCACTCGGGAGCATTTTGCCAACTGCAAGTGCATGACGTGGTGCCCTTTGGGAGGAGGGGACATCGGTGCCCACTTTGCCGGGGGCTATGCTGGGCGCAGAAAGAGGAGGTGACTTAAGAGTCTGCATGGTGCCTCCGGGCTGGGAACTGAGCCGCTCGGGATGGCTTCTCTGACCATTACGTGTGAGCGGCATGTTCTGGAAATGCCCTGTAGGGACCCTCCCTGCAGCATCGGGGCAGGGACTCTTTTGAGAGGTGACTTCTCTCACTGTCCTTCTCTTACCTGTCCCCGAGGGATTTTATTGCACATCTTATTAACGCGTGGCGGATGTACAAGGGCCGTAAGGACACACACCTGTTAACAAGGAAGGAAACACAAGAAGCCGTCGGGCGGTGCTGTCTCAGAGGAGAGGGAACAAGGACGCAGGCGGGGAAGAAAACTTTCTTTCATTCTATGCCCCTTTATGTGAAGCTTTCCCACGTCCGGTCTGAAATCTGAAGAAACCACCGGGGCGGGGCGGGGCGCTCCCGCATACCTTCTCTCTCCCCACCTGCTGCCCAACTCAAGGCTGAGCAGCCAGAGGAGGAGGGAGGTGGCAGTGTTGGGTTCAGGGTTGAGAGCTGTGGATCCCCCCAGGATGGTCCCAGGAGAGGCAGCTTCCCCTTCAGCTGGGATTCCGCAAGGCTTGGAGCATGTCCCTTTGGCCGAGCCCAGCCCCGCGGCGTTTTTCTGATAACGCAGGTGCGGTCTCAGCTTCTCTTGTTGAAGATCAGCGGGAAAGAGTCCCAGCCGCCCGGACGGTGGGCTTCCAGGGACCCCATAACTTGATGTAGTCCATCCTAAAGTTACTGCTCTTCCAGCACAGAACAGGAAACGCATTCACTCTGCGCAGTCAGTCTCGTCGGGGCCATCATTCTTCTCTGTAATCTGCCCTGAACTAGATAGTTATTGAAATACATTAAAAATCACAGGGGGGAACATGCCTGTCTCCACAAGGCCGATAAGCTGCTCTTTGAATCTTGATGCCCTTTAATGGCAAGGAACGTGACCGTCATCCAGGTCCTTCTGAATTTATTGGGAAGTTGAACGTGACGTTTCAGGCTGATTCCTTACTCAAAACAGGCATGCTCTTCAGAATAGTGGACAGAATAGTGTTGACTTTTCTAATAATTTCAAAATATGTATCTTTGTCCCTAAGCTTCATGAAAGGTTTTCCGGAATTCTAACGTATTTAGAAGCACAGTCCTTTCTGGCTATGAATTTGAGATGCCGTGTGATCAGTATTATAAAGGTAGTTCTCTTTGTTCCTTTTCAGAACTTTCTGTCATCATTTTTTTTATGATTTCAAAAGGATGTTGCCTTATGGAAAATGGATTTAAGTGATTATTGAACAACGAAGTGTCACAAAGCTTTATGTTAATATTTAGCTCATTTTATTCTTTCTATCCTGGTCTGATGGTTGCCTTGTCTGCTATTTCAAATGGAATCTTCCAGTCTCCAAGGCCATCCCCTGCTGCACTCAGAGGGTGGAGGCCTGACGTAGGAGAGTCCTCTGACTCCTCCCAATTGGAGTTTCTCTGGATTGTTAGCCATCCTCTCCTCCTGCCTCAGAAATGGATGTTCCTTCCCAAGGTAGTGCCCTCCCAGGTACAGGGTCCATCCTCCTCTCTCTCCTCTGGGACCTTCCTCCATCAGCTCGATGCTTTTCCCGTCTCTGTTTCTTCTCAACCTGCAAGTATGCCCTGATCTTCCCCACCTTAAAAAATGAAGGCAGCATCTTTTGAAGGATCCCCTTCAAGCTGCTCTTCCATTTCTTTGTCCCGGCCCACATCCATGAAAACATCCTCTGCTCTTGCTATCACTGCATTTGTCCTGCTTTGCCCTCCCTCCTGTTTACTCCTAGCTTCTGTGCAGTCCATTCCCCATGTCAGTGTGACACTGTTCCCCAGGGCATCCCCAGGCACCCCTGATTGAAGAGCGAGGTGGCCAATTTGAACATCATTCTTGTCATTGACTTTTTCGCCTTTGACACAGTTGACCAGAATTCCATTCTTCTCTTTAATTACAAAAATGATTTTATTGCTTTTATATATAATAAAGCCCATACCTACACACTAATGAGAGTTTAGAAAACAGACGAGGAGGAGGAGGTGGAGGGAAGAAAAAGCTAGCGGCGGTGTTGACCCAGGACCGTCACTTGGAATACACCACATGTCACTCGCTTTTCGAAAATGGCATCATGGGGCGCCTGAATGAGTCAGTCGGTTAAGCCTCTGATTCTTGGTTTTGGCTCAGGTCGTGATCTCAGGGTCATAAGATTGAGCCCCGCATCAGGCTCCGCACTCAGCAGGGAGTCTGCCTAAGAGCTCTCCCTCTCCTTTTGCCCCTCCTCCCGCTCTCTCTTTCTCTCTCTCTTTCTCAAATAAATAAATGAATCTTTGTAAAAAAATGACATCGCGCCACACCTCCACTTTTGTAATTTACTTTCTTAAGAATCTCTAGCATTATATTTTAATTCCTTCCATGTCAATACACATATATTGTCATTTTTCACAGAGACTTTTTAGGGCTTATAATTCATGCTGTCAAACTGCCTTCCTCTGGGGTTGACTCAGTTTACCCCACCACTAGAAGCAGAGTAGCCCGCTTTTCAGCACCCCTGCAGGCACTAAATGTTACACTTTCTATTTTAATATTTGCTAATTCGATAGACAATTTTCAAAAATCTGCATTTCTTTAATTTTAGGTGAGTCTTTCCTCCTCTTCAAATATCCTTCATCCCTGAAATCCTCCCCTTAGATCTGCAAGTCTTCCAGCCCCCTGCCTCCTCCCCTGGACCTGCTCTTTGGTGTCCCCAAGCTGCCTGGTCTCTGGACAACCTGACATGTCAGGAATCTGGCCTCCTGAGTCTCTGTGGTTGCTTGGGTCGCTAGCAGGTGTAGGAACATGCTCTGTACTTGACCGTCATCATGGGACCTCCGCTCATGATGCCCCACCTTTGAGTCTCTCCCCACCCAGGCTTCAACCTCCCACTCAGGTCCTACTTTCCCCTGGAAGATCATCTCAACACCCCCTTCTGCATCAGCTCTCCCTCTCCTCTTTCCCATTGACTTGGCTTGTGCCTCCATTTCAATGGTGTATTAATTTCCAACCAGCTAGGTGAGATCCTCTAGGGGGAGGGCGGACAGTGCATCTTCTCCTCCTTCCCCTTCTCCTCTGACCCTGCTTTCTGCCCCAAGACTTAGAGCAGTGGGTTGAAGATGGTGTTGCTTAGCAAATGCCTGATGGAACCGAGCTGGTGCTCTGGGGATCGAGAGCATAAACCCTAAGAGTCATCTGGAACTAATCACGTCTTTCACTTGTTCGCTAATATTCTCAGTCTTTCATTCCTGAAATCTACTATGCTTCAAATGTGATATTTCCAAGTTCCACTTCCAACCCAGCATCCAAACCTAGAGTCTAGATTCACAAACTTCGTGTCTTCAGCCAGAAAGAGGTTTCCTACCTTGTGCCTTGTGTTTCATGTGGGATGCTAACACATTTCGAGGGAAGTTTCTAACCACGGCCACATGTGGATCCTGAGCACTTGGAATGTGTCTAGGGCAACAGGGGAGCTAAATTTATTGATTCTATTTGCTTGTAATGAATGGGAATTTAAATTTAAATAGCCACCAGCAGCTAGTGACCACCACATTGGAAAGCAAAGCTGTGTACATTATAGAAGTACTGACTATTGAAGTATTTTGATAAAATTCAGAGGCATATTTTGATTTTTCCCTTTGTTATAGGCACGTTGGAGCTCAAACTGATAGGCTAAATATTGTATTTCATGTGATTTATTGCAAGGATCATTATCAAGGTCAAAATGTGGACTTCACCTCTTTAAGACTTACTAATCCGTAAGCCATCCACCCACCACTGTTCGTGACTATCCCAGTGCTTGCTGGTGCCTGCCAGGCCCCCACGGGGGTGTGCGTAAGCATTCATCCAAACAGAAATGTGCTCCTTGCTCAGCACCCACAAGTTCGCAGATGAGGGCCGCTGGGCCACAGATGCAGGCCGTGCTTGCTGTAGTTCCCTCACTCGAACAAAGCCATGCTGGGACGCGGACCCCATCATTAACTCTGTGTCTCCTCTTCCAGAAGGCGAGCGCGCCGGATATTCTTAAACCTCTCAACCAAGAGAGTCCCAAACGCCTTCCTAATCCTGTTCCGAAGCCCGAGAATCTCTCAGCCAGGCCGACGCCCAGCGCTTTATTCTCTGGAGGCTTGAGACACGTGAGTCTCTGCTAATTCCCTGGACACGTGACGCGTGCCTGTCCGCGTGATGTTGGAGCGGGGTGGACGGGGTAAGCAGGGGAGAGGGAAGTGGTGCCCTGGGGGATGAACCGGAACAGGCCAGCAGAACTTGGTGGTAATATTTTACCTACCTGTGAGCTGGGGAAACCTGGCTATACTTTGATGGCTTTTCTTTTATACGGACAGATAGTAATTTATAAAATAATGGTATCTTTGGATGAGAAGTTTTTACTTTCAGTGACGTCCAGTTTATCAAATATTTCTCTTGCAATTACTTTCGGGTCGTGTCGACCCACCAGTCATGAAGACATCCTCCTATTTTCTTCTAGAAGCTTTATGAAAGTTTCATTTTTCCGCACGGCCTGTGCTCCGGCTCCCGGACGTTGTGAGTGGTGTAGGCTGTCTGCTTTCCCTGCATGGATACTCAGTTATTTAAAAAAAAGACTCTCATTTCCCCCCATTGACTTTGGTATCTTTGTTGCAAATCAAGTAACCGTGTAAGGGTGGGTCTTTTTCTGGATTCTCTGTTCTGTTCTGCGGACCTTGCTGTGTGTACTGGGGCGAGACCACGCCGTCCTGGGAACTGTAGGAAGCCGTGAAGTCAGGTAGCCTGGGTCCTCTGACTGTGCTCTTCTTTTTCAAAATATTTTAAAGATTGTCTCTGCTCAGAGGCAGGCCTCTTTGTCATTCGTCTGTTTATTTGAAAACATCGAAGGAATGCAGACTTCATGCCTGAGACTGTGGCCTGTGGTGTGACCCAGCCTTGATGACAGGTCACCTCACTGTCATAGCTCTTTGACTTATTAAAGAATCTCAGACAATCACAAAGACTCTCCAGATGACAGAGTCCTCATCAAGGAAATGGGTATCAGGCTTGTTCTTTTATCTCACTGGGCTGTTTCGAGAGTCCAAATGCACTCGCTGCCCTGTGGGTTAGAGCCATGAGGAACTCAGCTTCTAGAAACCATCTTCCTGGTTCGCACTCCAGCTCCTCTGGTGTGACCCAGAGCGAGCCCTTTGACCCCTCTGTGCTGGGGCGATTGGGGTTTTACAGAAAATGGCATTCACTTTAGAAAATGATAGACTTCCCTTCCCCCAACTACATGCATATCTGGTGGAACATTAAAAAGTTGAGACAGAAGCAGGCCAGACTGTGGGCTGAAGGATAGCTAACGGATGTCCTTGCTTCAGTCCCCTGAGTCCTGGCGGCCCCCACCCCACCGGTCCCTGAGTGGGCCACTGCTCTGCGCCCACCCTCCTCACACTGTGGGGGCCCAACAGCATCACCGGGCACCTTCCAGAAATGGGAATCTCTGGCCCCGCCCCAGACCTACTAGATTGGCCTCTGCAGTCCGACAAAAGCCTGCCCCCTGCCCTGCTCTGCCCCGCCGTCATCCTTCCCTTCTCTCTGTTACTCATACTGTCCTCCCCTCCTCCTGCTGTGTCAGCGGTTGCCCGGTTGGGTGTTGTCTGGGGCAATTCCGGTGCCCGAGCTGCACCTGCCACGAAAGAGCAGGGCAGTCAAACCCAGCGGGACCACGGCATGGCTCCTGTGGACCTGCTGTCGATCGAAAGCCCGCTGTGTGCAAACCCCTGAGCCAGGTGCTTCCCCGCAGTCATTTGCACAACGATCTTGCCAGGTGGATACTGTGAGCCCATTTCACAAATGGGGAAATCTGGTTCATGGATTTCTGAGCAGCTCTGACTCAACCCCCGGGAGCCATGTGAGTCAAAGCCCGGGCTCTCTGGGCTGGCCCTGGATTTGGTAGCTCTCCAAGGGAGGGGGTTCCCTGGCCGCACTTGCCTGGGGCGGACCCACACCTAGGAAACCTCTCCGACTGGTGGGAAACGCTGTGGCGGTGGGAAGCGGGTGAGTATGTTCCTGTCCCCCAGGCTCTGCTTCTTAGGGCGGTTCCCTTCAAATTCAACACGGTTCCCTTCTCCCGGTCTTCTGGTGTGTTCTGGTTTGTGCCCTTCAAGTTATCCTGGTGAGGCTGAGTTATTCCACGATGAACCCTCTCCTGTTCCCCTTAGACTGAAGCAGTGTTTGAGGAAACGAAACTCCCACAAAGCAGATACTGATTATTGCTTCTAGCCCGAAGACGTTGCCTGTTCTTCGGACAGACATGCACATCCTCTAGGAAGCAGAAACGCAGAGCCGCAAAAAGCTCACTAAATCTCTACTTACTACAAGAGGAGAAATGCAAAGGGGCCATAAGTAGGGGAAACACTCAACCTCCCAGGTGGTTAAATCAGAGCAAAATGAAAGCAAGTGCTGTTTCTGGGGTCATCTTGGCAAAGTTTAGAAGTGATGGGGTCAGCGTTGGCAAGGTGTGGAGCTGCAGGCGTTCTCAGAAGCTGCTGGTGCATTTATTCAGAGGAATTAATGTAGCTATGAAAAATAACATTGAAGAATATTAATATAGAAAATACACCTTGGTAAATGAACATAGAAGGTTACCAAATAGTATTACAGTAGCACATGTTTTTAAAAACAAAATGGCTATAGACATCGCAAAACAAGCGAAGGGGTGCTACCAAAATTTGACCATGAAATAATGGGGTTATGCTTTTCTCTTAAAATTTTTCTGGGGGCTCATCTGCATTTTCTGTATTTTTTTTCCATAAACATGTAATGTTTGGGGAGGAAAAAATAATTTGCTTTACCCCCCCTCAAAAAAAGAAAAATCCAATCAGAGTGGAACTTGGTGGTGTGAAGAAATACATTAATTTTTTAGACTACCTACAGGAGAAAAGTTCCTACCAGAGTTCCTATCTGGTTTTTAATTTTGTTTTACTTCTTTTTAAAAAAAATCTGAAAAGGAATGCATCTATATCAGTGTTTTCATGCAGTTTACATTTTTCCTGCCAGAAGGTGTTGTGGTTGGCAGGAGTGACCACATGAAGTTGGAACTCCTGAGATATAGAGGTTGGCAGAAGTTTGCGAGGGAACAGATTATTAATCAAAGAAGTAAAAAAAAAAAAAAAAATCCAACTGCCCAGCTGTTTTCTTTAAACATGAATTTGAGACATGGGATGTCATCATGGTGTTTCGGTCGCTTCTAAATTTTTTTTTAAATTTTATTTATTTATTTGACAGAGATCACAAGTAGGCAGAGAGGCAGAGAGAGAGGCAGAGAAGCAGGCTCCCGGCCAAGCAGAGAGCCCGATGCAGGGCTCGATCCCAGGACCCTGGGATCATGACCTGAGCTGAAGGCAGAGGCTTTAACCCACTGAGCCACCCAGGCGCCCCACTGATTGCTTCTAAACAGGGACTGGCTCAGAACGTTCCCTCGGCCCATCACACAGGTGTGTGTGGAAATCCTTCATTTTTCCATTAATATTTTTGAACTTGTCTGGGCTCCGCTGATTTTTTAAAAGAGTACTGTATTTAGTGATCTACCCGTATGAATGTGTTTTTGTTAACAACAATAAAAAAGGATGACCATATTCTGGCCTGTTCATCCAGCGGAATACTGTTTGGGAGTGACAAGGAGTAAACACCAACCACAGCTGACCATACTGATGAATTTAAAAAACAGAATATGTGCACGGGAGGAATTCTAATTGCAAATTCCAAAATCAGGTGAAAATAACCAATATGTTGTTTAGGGGGATATATACATATGTACTAAAACCATAAAGAACTACGAGGGTGAATAACAGGAAATTTTGAAACCGCATTCACTAGGGACAAGAAAGAGGGGATGGGACAGGGGTGGGGCCCCAGGGCACTTCTGAGGTCCCGCTAATGTTCTTCTACTCCAGTTGAGTGGTGGGCACGTGGATGTTCCTTCTAGAATTACTATTTAGCTGTATCCATGAGATGTACTTTTAATATATGTATCATAGTAAAAAGGAAAAAAAGGAGAAAAAGGAAATGAGTCGCTCAGCTCACAAAGGATGGCCACACTGTCTGGCGTTTTCCAAATGGTAATGAATGTCCTATACTTACTATGCATGAGGATGGTTCTAAGTCTCCACGTGCATTAACTAACTGAGCCTCATCCCAATTCTGTGAAATAGATCCCCATTTTACAGGTGAGGAAACTGAGTCTATGGTGGGTAAGAATACTGCTCAAGATTACACAGCCCCTAAGTGTTGGGACCCAGAGTAGAATGAAAGCCTGTCTGGCTCCGTGGCCGCCATTTTGACCACTCTAGAGTAATGGTCTCAGTGTGCTCTTGGCGATCAGGAGTTTTTTGTTTTGTTTTGTTTTGTTTTTTAAGAATACAGTTGACTGTTGAATAATGTGAAGGTCAGGGGCACTGATTCCTTGTGCCATCAAAAATTCGTGCATAACGTCCAACTCCCCCCAAAACTTAACTCATAGCTTGCTACTGACTGGAAGCTTTAATGATAACCTTTACAGTCCATTAACACGTATTTTGAATGTTATATGTATAATGTATTACGATCTTACAATAAAGTAAGCTAGAGAAAATAAAATGTTAAGAAAATAATAAGGAAGAGAAAATACATCTACAGCACTGTACTGTGCTTACTGGAAAATTCTGCATAGTCAAACCCGTGCTGTTCAAAGGTCAACTGTAGTAGTGGTTTCCGCTGACCCCCGCTTCCTGCCTTTGCGAAAGGAAAGGGCATCGAGGCTGGCTTGTGGTTACAGTAGCTAACTGGTGTCCTTTGGAGAAAGTCACCAAATGCTCCTGCCTTAGCTAGTTCTCCTTTGCTTTTGCTCAGATTTACTTTCTTCCAAACTCCAGCAGCACCAATGGCTCGAATGAAAAAGGCCGAGCTCTTAGTGGCTTTCTGGCTTGCCTCCAGGCGCTGCTCAAAGTTGCACCTTGCTCCAAGATCCTGTTCTGGCTACAAAGAAAATAGAACCAGAAAACCTTCCCGAGGCAACAGTGATAGAGACGTGGATTATCTCAGGAATGTGGTTGACCAAAGGGTGTGCTCTGCTGTCCCTTCATTATCTGAGGCTGTCCTTTCCCTGGCTAAGCGGGCACAGACACTACTGTAAGCTGACGGCCTGGGGCGTTCCGTACCTCCGTCCTCTTCCGGTTCTACTTCTGATTTCTGTGCAGCTTCTGGGTGGGTCCTACCCTGCTCTGAGCTCTGCTAATGGATTTATGAGATGAAGGATGAGTAATTCGAATGCTTTCTGGATTCCTTATAATCGTGGTCGCCGAGCTGGATGAGCCAGGGGCGCCTTCTCTGCACCCCGCAGGAGGGCGACCTCATGGCCAGTGGGAGAGTGCGGGGATGAGGTCTGCCCCATCTTGTCATCCAAAGGGCCAGCGGTCCCGGGCCTGCTGCGTTTCTCTGGGTAGCCCGGTTTCCTGCTCTCAGAACATCCATTTCACACCTTCTCCAGTTCATTCAAAACTCGTTCAGGTCTTCTATCCTGCTCTTTCTCATTTTCAACAAAACAAATCCCTTTTCACTTTGCCAAAAAAAAAAAAAAAAAGGGACTCCCCTCAGAACTGTCTAATCTTCCTGATATCAAAATTAACCTCACTGTATCTGGACCCAGCCTACCCTCCTTTCCCTCCTGAACAGAAGCAGCCAGTCCCCCGAGCGACCCCCGAGTGACCCCCCGGCGCCCACCCTCTCCTGCCCTTACTTGATTCCTCCATGAAAGATAGCATATCTTTCCTTTCTCTGCCTTTATGTTTTTTCATCTTTGTCTTGATTTGCAGCAATTTTATTATGTGCCTACCTGTAGTTTTATTTAAAAATAAATACATTTATTTCCCTCTGGAATCCACAGTTAAATGCCTTAAGAAAGTTCTAGAAGATTAGGACGACCACCCGAGTGAGTCCTCTCCCTTGAGTTCTGTGGCTCCTTCAGGCACAAGACTGCGTACCCCTTCATGCCATAATATTTACACAGAGCACTCTAGAATCAAAGTACTTCAAGTGCTTTCTCGATTCCCTTCATAAATATTTACTGAGGATCTACCATGAGCCAGGCACTGAGCTGGGTACTGGAGGTACAGTGGGGGCAGGAATGTGCAGCTCGGAGAGGAGGGTGTGACCCTCCTTCAGAGAGAATGTTCTTTTACTTCCAGCAGACAGCTAGAGTGAAGGTAAACAGTCTTTACCCATCTGGTGTCGAGCTTGTTCAAAGCGGGCTGTCATGCTTTGTGAGGACCTCCCCATTTCCCGCGGACTCTCACTCCTGGGAAGGAAGCTGGGTGTGTGTGTTGGCGGGGGGGGTCCCCACTGAAAGTCTGGAGGCCACCGAGCCCCTCCTTTCTATGGTGGGCTTCTCTAGGAAGAACAACTTTAGAAAGTGTTCTCAGCTGCTCAGTGAGAACTTCCAAATCAGCAAATCCCTTGAAGGGAAAAGAAGCCTCTAGTGTGTCTCCCACTTTGGTGCCTTTCCACGTTCTCTGCGAACTTGGCTGCTGAAGCTGTGTGTGCCTTCAGGGCTCCAGACGCCAGTTGTCATCCCCCCGCCCTTGGCTTCTGGGCCCCACGGTTGCTGCGTTTAGCTTGACTCCTCTGTCCTCCAGGTGGGTCTGCTCGAGGCGGGACAAATGCCTCCGAGAGAGACACAGCTCAGAGCATCAGGCTCGTGGACTGTGCTCCTCCTCTCTCTAGTAGCTTCCACCCTTCGTCCTGGCTGTCCCGGGAGCTCTACGATACCTTGAAACTGTTTGGGACCTAACTCGGTTTTCTGTTTGTTCTTGGCAGAAAAGTCTCTGCAATTCAGTCCAAGCTGACGTGGCCCAAAATGAGGTCCCGGGACGAATCCCATTTTAATTATTGGAACTTTTGAGCCCCTGCATTCCTGCCCCAGTTCTGCTTGCAAGCAACGCGCGCCTTCTGCCAGGCGTCCTTACCCTTCCTCCTTCTCTCGTGTGCACCTCGCTGAGTCCGCGGTCTCACCGCTCCTTCCCTCTGTGAGTGTGAAATGTAAAGGTTGTTTTTCACGCGAACAACCGTGTGGGTGTTGGCAGATGTGTTTCAGAGCCTGTGACTGGGTGCGGTGAAGGTGGTTGTGTGCTTGGCATTAGTTAACCCAGCCCTTGGCTTCTGAGCCCCGGGGCTGCTGTTAGTTCCTTCTGATGACCTGTTGGCTTGGTTTGGTTTGGGTTTTGCTCGCTCTGTAGTGAGAGGAAAAGCCCCAGACTTTCTTTGTTTCCTCCCAGGATGTTTTACGGCGTGGAGAATCTCGCTGCGAATTAGCAGTGGAAATCATTCAGGCTTCCCTATTTTTAGAGAGTCAGTGCGGAGATTTTTGCCCAGGAATGGGGCAAATATTAAGCAAGTTTAACAGTGCGACAGCAGCTGGTGTGTCTTTTTAAGCACAGGCTTTCCACGCTCCTTATCCTCATCACCTGAGCTCACGGCGCCCTAACTAATGGTGGCCGTTCTGTTTTTCATTTAATTACATTAAGTTTCATTTCATTAATTTCATTTCATTACATAAAAATGTAAACAGAATTTATTGTCTTTGACTACATACTTTACACATTGTATTCCACTCACTTCTCACCGTGACCCCATGAGACTAGTATTGATTTTTTTTCCATGTGGACTTCGACACAGCTACTGAGTAGCAGGCCCCAGGTCGGAATCCAGCTGTATCTGACTCCCAGTCGTGGGATTTAGCACCCCTACTCCGCGGCTTTCCACAAGGCTCTTCCTGCCACCGGTATTATCTGCCCTTCTGAGACTTATCTCTGCAGAATTGCGCAGGAGATAATCCACTTCGGCCCAACTGATTTGTATTAAAGAATGAGATTGTGTAACCTTCATTGCTCAGCAAACACCATATCTGGGCAAGACTGACTTTCCGAGGATCTCCCATCTCCTTCGGACAGACTGTGTGGCAACTTATTTTGGCAAAGTACAAGCTGGTGTATTATTAACTTACTATGAGTCAGGATGCATGTTTTGTGTGAATTTTGATTAATTTGATCTCTCGAAACCAGAACTGCAACAAATAGACTAACTGGGAAATAATTTATTTTATCTGTCCTTCTTGATTTCAGGCCAGTCTAACTAGCATTAACAGCGCATGCGCGGAGATGGGCAATTTTGACAAAGCTAGTGTCACTGGAGAAATCGAGTTTGCCGTTCGCTACTGCTTCAAAACCTGTTCTTTAGAAATATGCATCAAGGCCTGTAAGAATCTTGCCTATGGAGAGGAAAAGAAGAAAAAGTGCAATCCGTAAGTTTCTTTTCCCTGGGTTTTGGATTGAGGGTAGGCACGTTGGATCTAAAGTTTATTCGGAAGAGCAGAAGTCCCCAAATAACCAAGACAATTGTTTAAAAGAGTAGAACTATAAAAAGACCAATTGAGGGGCGCCTGGGTGGCTCAGTGGGTTAAAGCCTCTGCCTTCGGCTCAGGTCATGATCCCAGGGTCCTGGGATCGAGCCCCGCATCGGGCTCTCTGGAACAGAGAGCCTGCTTTCTCCTCTCTCTCCCTCTGCCTGCCTCTCTGTCTACTTGTAATCTCTGTCTGTCAAATAAATAAATAAAATCTTTAAAAAAAAAAAAAGACCAATTGAGAATGATTTTTAAAGCCAGTTGTAGTTCAAACAGTGGCTTATTGATGCAAGGATAGGTAAGTAGGTCAGTTGAGCGGAATCAGAAGTCCAGATACAGAACTTGGCCTGCTTGGGAACTTCTAGGATCAAGGGGCTATTAGACATCAATGTAGAAAAGATGAACTTCAATGAATGGTGTTGGGAAACTTGACTTCCCACAGAGGAAGAGTCAAACCAAAAACCTGTGTCACACAATCCATAAACAGATTACAAATTTTTTCCAGCTGATGTGAAATAATATTTCCCCACTTTAACATGCATTTCCCTGGTTGCAAACAGAGATGAGCAGCTTTTCATACATACACACATTAGACACGTAAGGTTCCTTTCTGTGAACGTCCCGAACTCCTATCTTTTGGCATTTTTCTATTCGGTTGTTTGCCATTTTAATATTTATTTACAGGAATGTGGGGGTTTTTAAACCCTTTTTGAATATAGCTCTTCATTGATTGTATTTTTTATATATTCTAGTTGTTACTTGTTTTCTAACATTGTTTATGCTGGCTTTTCTTGAAGAGAATTTGAGGTCAAATTTGTCAGTCTTTTCCTTTAAAATGTATTTTGAGTCTGTAGAAAGATTCTACCTGAAGGTTATAAATATATTCTTCTCTATTTTTATTTATTAGAATTTTTTCCCCTTAGAACTGGAACTGATTTTCTGTGGCCTTTCTTTTTTCTCACATGGAAAACTTTGAGCACAATGTTTTAATTACCAGCTTGGGAAAGGGGATGGGAAAGAAAGCCAAACTCTTCTTGGCTCTGAAAACATCAGTAGCTCCTCAGGGCAGGACAGATGAAGTACATTGTTGTATGTGGCATTTATGGGTCTCCATAACAGCGTCCCTCTTGTCCTTCTGGTTTCTTAACTTCTATTAGTCCCCCAACTTATACCTTTGGCTCAGGAAAATTGAAATAGTCGTTGTTTCAAAGCTGTCCCCTGACTTTTTCCCAGATCGAGACTTTCCTCATGTTTGGGTTGTGACTATCTTCCCTACGCCACGCCCACAAGTAGCAACCATAATCCTGTGCCTTCTTCAGACTCCCGTCCAGTCCCGTCAGAGACCTTTATTCTGCCCATGACTCTTCGCGCATGCCGAGCCTCTCTTGTAATTCTCAAAAGGACTGTAGTGAGGTGGTTGAGAGTACAGACACTGAACCCTGGTCCACCATTTATGTGGGTTGACCTTGGACAAGTCACGCAACCTCTCCATACCTCACTGTGACACAGGGAAAACAGTAGCCCCACCTTCAAGGGATTGTTGCGGCGTTTTCCAGAATTTGCCCATATTAAGCCTTCAGAACGTTGTCTGGAACATAACAAACATTCGACACAAAGTAAGCAAGTGAGGCACAGAGTACACAGAGAAGTAGACCTAAAACTCTGCATGGGGGCCACCTTGAGGCTTTGGCCAAATACTCAGGGCTCATACACAGGACAAGATTTCATGAGGTCTGTCACAGGACGGTTACTGGGGGTGATGAGCCACTGGGCGCGGCATGATGCTGGGGAAGGTGGGAGCTCTGACCAGCCGGAGCTGGGTGTTCAGCAGAACACCCAGGGCATTATGGGAGGCAGCTGAAGGGTTTCTCTAGCCCCAGAGCAGGGACTACTCCAACTCTCCCCACCTCGGCAAAATCAAGCCATGATAGGGTCGAACTGAATTGCCCATCAGTGAAATATTTACTGGAGTAATACTCAGTACTTTTTAAAAGAACAGCCCAGAGAGGATTCTGGGAGGGTGACAGGATGGGAAGCCCTAGGAACTGGTCTCTCCTTGTAAGACCGTGATTGCACTGGTAGAAGCTGTCTTGTGAAACCACTTCGGAACTGCCGGCTCCTGGAGGCTTGCAACTTCCAGCGGAAGGCTTGGCCGGTTCACTGGGGTAAATTTCAGTCAATATCCGCTCTTACCCAGTAGCAGCTCTCTGTCCCCTCACTCCCAGCCACGTGGCAGGGAGCTGTGCCAGTGTTCCCGGAGCCGCTTACACACAGCATGCTGGGGTCAGTGTGGGGGACAAAAAAAAGGATTTTGTCCTGCAGATATGAGGGTAGTGTGCTCTGGCTGCAGACCGCAGCTTCTGATCACAGAGGGGCAGACCCAGAGGCAGGCCGCCGCTGTGGTATCTCCTCCAGCTGTTGGGATCCCCTTCCTGTCTGGGGTCCTCAGGAGGACTCGCAGCAGATTTCTCGGCAGATCCTTTAGAGGCAAGGAGGCAGTCAGTAGATAGAGTCAAAGTGCTAAGAGGGGGAGGACCCTGTCAACCAAGAATCCTACATCCATGGGGCGCCTGGGTGGCTCAGTGGGTTAAGCCTCTGCTTTCAGCTCAGGTCATGATCCCAGGGACATGGGATTGAGCCCTACAGCGGGTTCTCTGCTCAGCAGGGAGCCTGCTTCCCTCTCTCTCTCTCTGCCTGCCTCTCTGCCAACTTGTGATCTGTCAAATAAATCTTAAAAAAGAAAAAAAAAAAAAGAATCCTACATCCAGCAAAGCTGTTCTTCAAACGTGGGGGAGAAACTAAGACATCCTCAGATAAACAAAAGCTGAGGGTCTTTGTCCTGCAAGAAATAATGCTCAAGGGAGGGGTGCCTGGGTGGCTCAGTGGGTTAAGCCGCTGCCTTCGGCTCAGGTCATGATCTCAGAGTCCTGGGATCGAGCCCCGCATCGGGCTCTCTGCTCTCTAAGGGAGCCTGCTTCCTCCTCTCTCTCTGCCTGCCTCTCTGCCTGCTTGTGATCTCTCTGTCAAATAAATAAATAAAATCTTAAAAAAAAAAAAAAATAATGCTCAAGGGAGCCCCCGCAAGGTGCAATGGGAGGACAGACAGCAAGTCAAGGGCATGTGCGGAAGGAAAGACCGCAGGAAAAGCAAAGACACGGGCGGTGATAAAAGCTAGTACCGTTTAACAGTGCTGTGTACTTGCATCTTACATATTTAAAAAATTTTGTTGTCTCTAATTACTGTTGTAACTTTGATCTGTAACTCCACACTTTGTCTTTGACCTAACTTAAGAGACTAACACACTTAAAAGAAAGGTTAGTCTGTGATGTTGGCTACCCAGGGTAGGAAGGCGTCGTTTCACAACCTCATCAATGCGACAAGGTAAGGCTGGCACCAGGAAGGAGCAGAGTTTTTGTTTGCTATTGACCTTAAGATGGTAAAAATTCAAAGTAGAGCCTTATAACTCTAGGATAGGAGATGTAATCCCCTTGGTGAGCACAAAGAAAACAGCTACAGAACATATACAAAAAGAAATGAGAATGGAATTTAAACATTTTATCATAAAATTCAGCTAAATGCAAAAATATCGGGGCACCTGGGCAGCTCGGTTGGTTACACTGGTTAAGCTGACTCTTGGTTTTGGCTCCAGTCATGATCTCAGGGTTGTAAGATGGAGCCCTGCCTCCAGCTCCACACTCAATGGGGAAATCTGCTTGAGTCGCACTCCCTCTGCCCCTCGCCCCTCTCGCATACTTTCTCTGTCTGTCTTTCTAAAATAAATCTTTAAAAAGTAAATAAACACAGAAGAATGACTATAGTACTGCAGTAAATGGGAGACCCGAAGCTAGAAGGGACGCAGAAACAAGTAGCCAATGACAGAAGTAAGTCCCTCCTGATCAGTAGTCACTTTCAAGGTGAATAATGTAGATTCTCCAGTCAAGAGGCAGAGGTTGTCAGAACGGACAAAAACACAGGATCCAGCTGTTACCGGAACCGGTAGTCCTTGCCATCGCTGAAGCTGTGAGCCAGGAAGGGCAGCGTTGGGACCTCCCTGGAGGGGTCCGTCTAGAACAGGATTTCGGGGGATGGGGAGAACGCAGGTGGACAGGCCCCACAAGGGCAAAGTAAAGGGTGAGGCATATACTTTTTCTTCCCACTTTTTTTTTTTTTTCGGTGGGTTGGAGGAAGTGATGGGTGGAGGGAGGACAAGCTGGCCCAGGACCTCCACATCCAGGCAGGTTGTCTAACCTGCCACCGTGGAGCCCCAGCAGCCCAGCCGCTGGGTCCGTGGTCATCCCCCAAATCATCGCAGGTAATGGGCGATGTAGATTCGAGGGGGAGGGCAGGAGGAAAGCAAGGGCGTGTTACACCTCCAGGAATGTTCCAGAGGATTCTGGCCAAAGACTGAGTAAGCTAGAAGGTGTGTACCGAGTGCTATCCTTGTTCCCCACCAAGCCCTCTTTGTCAACCCCAGTCCCCTGGGAAGCAGGGTAAAGAAAATGCTAAGGTCTGATTCTCCTCCTCCTGAACCCTTTGTCCCCCTGCCCACAACACCCCCCCAGCCCCCTCACTGAGCTATCACCTTGACCTGTCTGTGTCTGACCACTAGGTACGTCAAGACCTATCTGCTGCCTGACAGATCCTCCCAGGGAAAGCGCAAGACTGGAGTCCAGAAGAACACGGTGGACCCAACCTTCCAGGAGACCTTGAAGGTACTGGCTGGACAAACAAATATTCGTGTGCGAAGTCTGCCCGTCCCAGGCTGGGCACCCGGGGCCGGAGTCCAGCGGAGTGTTCTCTAAACTCTTGAGTCAGTTAAATGTAAGCACAGACACTTACATGTTTCCGTAGGGCTCTGTCAATCAGTGGCAAGTTCGTAGAAAACGAATTTCAGCCTTTGTACAGGAAAAGCGCCGCGTCTGGCAAGCTCGACGATGGCCCTTGATTAATGATTTCTGAGAAAGGGGTGAAGAAGAACCTGGCCGCCTCTCAGTCTCTAAAATCGGTTTGTCCTGTTGAATTTTTATGACTCTCAGAGAGGTGCTCTCAAGCAGGCCCCTGTCAACTACCGAGTTACTATCTTCACAAAAGTGCTCCTTTATTCTAATAATGGGGCACCCTAGGTTGCTTCTTCTTTTATGAAAAATAAATAGTCCTCTTATGAAAAACATTTTATAGAGGAATTGTTTGGGTTTTCACTTTCTTTGGTGCTAAGAAATAGGGTTTGGGTTGTGGGGCAGAGGTAGGTGTGGAAGAACCATCCAGATGCTCAGGGACGTACCCAGTCAGGGCTGCGCAGCCCAGCAACCCCATGTGTCAAGACTGCACAAGGAGAGGGCTGGGTTTGCCTTCCTTGGCAAGTAGGGGCATTTCTGAACACCCAGCGGGGGACTGTCTGGCCAGCTGGCGGGAGTCTCATTCGTTAAATAATAAAAGCCATTGTTTTCTGTGTCCCTGCTGTGGCCAAGTGCTTTCTGTGCCCGCTGAGCTAAGTATAAGAATCCTCGTTTACCAACAGGGAAACTGAGGCTTAGAGAGTATTTAGAAGTACGGCTCTAGCTCGTGATGGACTGGGAGACCTTCAAAGATTTATGGTCCTGGGACTCCCCCAGAGGATTTTTTAAAAAGACTGTGATTCAACAGGCGTGGGCAGGGCCCAAGAGATCACCATCTGAGAACCCTCGGGAAGCAAGTCAGTAGACACTGGTCTTGCTGTGGTTTTGCTCACGAATCTGCTGAGTTTTGAAAAGCTGTGTGCCCCCTCCCACATTTTAAGTTCATATCCAGAATCACTCATTGTATGTTTAATTAAGGTGTTTTGTACTAAACAGGGAAACAAATAGTTCACATTTATTAAATGAGTTGAAGTTGAGGACTGAGTGTAAATCTTAGATATTATATGGTTTGATTTTTAAAGTTTTTTTTTTTTGATGTTTGAAGTTTTTACCACCTGATTTAAAATGCAGGCAGAATCTAAAAGAAATCTCCTAAAATTTTTATCCATTGGTTTTTTACCCAGTACATCGTGGATAGTTCAGTTGTCCCGGAGAACTTTCTAGATACACTGAAGAGAGTCCACGTCCCTCATCTAGTCTAAAATCTAGAAACTGATCCTTCGGGTTTTCTAGGGGGAGTGCCATGGGACGCCTCCCCGCACCCCTGGGGAGCTGGCACCCCTGTGAAGACCACCACAGGGGGCCTGGGAAGGGTGGAATGTGACACCTGAGCTGGTGTCTGTGTTTGTAGGGCTGGGAGCTTAGGAGAGGCGGTGGCAACCCCACAGCCTGCTGGGACCGCGATGGGGAAATGGTCCGTTTAAACAAAGGGATTCAGTCAGCCAGGAGAAGTCCTGTTTGTCAGAGAGGGACCACTTGAGTGCGAGGACCCCTGAGAAGCACACCCGCACTTCTGAGGGAGCAGAGGACAGAGCTGCGCCCTGCATAAGTGGATGCAGAGGACGCGGCGGCCCCAGGAAGGTGGGCATGGGGGATGGGCAGCGACCCTCCCTGGGACAGTGCGTTCTCAGGGGAGCAGGTGTGGCGCCCGAGTCGGTGGCCTGAGCAGCTGACTGGCCGTGCGGCCGTGAAGGGAACAACTGGGTAACTCATAGTTTAAAGACAGACCGAGAAAGGAATGCAGGGCAGAGTCAGACAGGGACCCTGGCTCAGAGGGTGGCGTGCGACCCTTGATCTCAGGGTTGTGAGTTCGAGTCCCATGTTGGGTATAGAGATTACTCAAAAAAAATAAAACCTTTAAAAAGAAAAAAGATAAAAAAAAAAAAAAAACAGTGGGCCATGGACTTGAGGGAAATGGACTGAAAATCAGCCTAAGGCGGTAGAGGGATGTGGCTTCGGACCACAATGATAATCCCAGAGGGAAGAAAAGGAGGGGCAAGTGGGCAAGGCAGCCTGGCCCCAAGGGGGGTGTTCGCTGGCCTGTGTGTTGGGGGAGGTCCGGGCAGACAGGGCTGCAGGCTGTCCCTGGCTGGGAGCCTGAGGGAGACAAGTTACAGCCTCTCCACACGCCAGTGGAAGGCCACTGGGGGCATCAGATGAGTCTCAGGCAAACCGGTGTGGCTGCTCTCAGTGGGGGCGAGGGTCCCGCCTTACAGCGTGACAGGCGGTCCCGGGAGGAGCCAGGATGCTAACCCCAGCAGAGAACTTCGAAGCCCGAGCCGTGGTGTTTCCCCCTAGACTGGTAAGTGCTGACACTGACCTCCGGACGCTCCTGGAGGCGAAGGAGCGATGTAACCGAAAGCCTGGTACGAAACAAGCATTCAGTAAAGCGTAACTTTTTTCGTTATTGAGAAAATCCGACAAATAGGCTTGGAACAGGCTCACAGAGGCTGAGCGGAGTCAGCAGCTCTTGGGAAGCCGGGCTGTGCCCCTGGCCTTCGGGAAGGGCATGGGCACTCTCACCCAGCCAGGGCCTTGACCTCTAGTCCCTGTGTGAGCAGAGGCCCACCCTCGGCTGGAGCCGGGAACTTCCTTGTCCTCTGACTGCGCTGAGACTCCTGTGGGGGGGTGGGGACAGTGAAGAAACAGCTCTGGGCGACCCTGAGCGCCCGCGCGGGCCTGCCTGCCCTCCATGCGTTGTCTGTCTAGGCAAATGCCCATGCTAAAAACTCATGCTTTACATTAAAAAACAAAAACAAAAACCCTGGTTTTCCGTATTTCTGGACAGCCCAGGCCAGGCACGTTCGGATCCTGAGCTGGGCCAGAGCTTGGCTTCGGTTGGATGAGAGGCTTCCTCCTTGCCTAGGGGGCAGATCCGGATTGTGCCAGGGGACCCTGCGGCTGCCCAGCCCCTCCCCCAGGCGGAGCACGGCCACAGGGCTGGTGGAGGAGGTTGTTCTGTGTCTGAGAAAGCAGAGACACCCCCCACACCGCTCCAAGCTGCGCGCCCACCCTGACCTCACCGAGATGCTGGCTCCAGCCAGCAGGAGGAAGGCCCCTGCGGGTCCCGGGGGGCTTCGGGCCTGGGAGCTGGGGGCCGAGAACCAGACTGACCGCCTCTCCTCTGCCTCTGCAGTACCAGGTGGAGCCCCGGCAGCTGGCGACCCGGAGGCTGCAGGTCTCTGTGTGGCACTTGGGCACGCTCGCCCGGAGGGTGTTTCTTGGAGAGGTGACCATCCCTCTGGCCATATGGGACTTCAAAGACAGCGCAACACAGTGTTTCTGCTGGTATCCACTGAGGGCCCAGGTGCGGTGTGGTTTGATAGTGGGCCACCCCCCCCCCCCCCCCCCCCCCCCCCCCCCCCCCCAAAAGCAGAACTCCCTTCTCAAACGGATTTGAGAAGAGAAAACCTACCCTGGGATGCCTTGGACTTGCCTGGCTGGGACTCTTCAGTAGGAACTTAGGGAGGAAAGGCTCCGCACCAGGCTCTCCTGGGAAGGGGGGTGGTTAGGGGGCTTTTCCTGCTCAGGTTTGCTCAAGTACCCAAGAGCCCCTTCCTCAGTGTAGCCTGAGTACTAGTCTGGGTCAGGTCTAGGGGGTTAGGCCTCCTGTGATGGCCCTGTGGGCCCACATACTCCTCTCCCCAAATTCAGGGTCACTTGGTTCCAGTGGGGGAGCCCGGGGAGCCCTGGGAGTCTACGGCCGCCACCAGAGTCTACGGCCTGCACAGGTCAGCCTGCCCGGGTCGTGCCGGCCACTCTGGTTTCTACATGCCCGCCCCGGGCGCTCCCAGAGGGGTAACAGCTGAGAACAGCTGGGCCAGATGCTATCAGGAGGGCCCGGCTGCCCTGACCGCCAGGGATTTCAGGGCGGGCCATCAGGGAGGCCTCGGGAGGAGGAGCTGGCTGATTTAGGTCTGCTCCCAGGCTGTGCCGGTAAGGGGAGAGCCTGGGGAGAAAGCTGGCACTTCTTGGAGCAACTGCTTTGCACTTTCTCTGCCAAGATCTGAGATTGGGAGAGAGGACGGATGAGATAATGGGGGAGGAGGAAGCGTGGGCTCCGTCATCTCCTAAGAAATGAGCTGCCAGAGTCTGGCAGCGAGGCCGAGGCTGTCCCAGGCCTGGGCCAGGTTCTGTGTGCCGTCTCCCCTCCCCCGCCCTCTCTGAAGCCAGGGAGCTGATGCCAGGTCTCTGATTTCCAGCTACACTTCTGTCAAGCCCAAGGGTCTCCTGCCCGGGAGGCGCCCTGTCCCACCACTCCTGCCCCTTTCCCTCTACACTGCTCTGCACAGCCCCGGCCCCACCTCTGGGTCCCCGTACTGACCCTTCGGCAGAGCCTGTCCTCGGACTCCCACTTGGGATGTCTACTTGGCATGCTTCCTTCCAGCCATGGTGTGCCTAAGACTTAGCTGAAATCCCACCTCCTCCATGGAGGCTTTCCTGATTTTCACTTTTCATGATTTTCCCTGCCTGTGTGCTTTCCCCCAGGATCCTACACTTGGGTGCCCTGCCCGTCTGTTCCCTCTAGGCCCCTTGCTCAGGACAAGATTAGCCTGCCACAAGGCTGCTGGGAAGAGGAAGGGGAGCAGAAGGTGCCAGGCTGAAAGACATCCTTCCTAATACCAGCTATAACCCCCCTGGCTGGATTGGGAGTGTCCTGCTGTTTACAGGCCTGCCCCCTCAGCACCTACAGGAGGAGCCCATGGGGTTAGCACAGGGTTCCCGAAGCTGAGGGTAGAGGCAACTTTATCTCTTCTGGCACGTGAGGGCCAGCCTCCTTCCTGGGAGGCAGTCAGGAGCCCAAGCAGAGTCACTGCAGAGCAGGCAGAGGCCAGCCCCGCCTTCTCCTAGGAGTCCTTGCTGAGTCCACTGAGCTAGAGGGGCTCGATTTTTTTTTAAAGATTTATTTATTTATTTGACAGAGATCACAAGTAGGCAGAGAGGCAGGCAGAGAGAGAGAGGAGGAAGCAGGCTCCCTGCTGAGCAGAGCGCCCGATGTGGGGCTAGATCCCAGGACCCTGGGATCATGACCTGAGCCGAAGGCAGAGGCTTTAACCCACTGAGCCACCCTGGCGCCCCGAGGGGCTCAATTTTATTCACCTTCTTCAAACTCTGGCCGGGTGCAAGTTTTCTTAGGACTATAGTATGGGAATGTGCCAGAGCCTTTGAGCGCACCTCCTCAAGGCACAGGGTGGGAATAGAGAGTCACCACAAATGGAAGAAAGACCAGTCCTGCCACGGGCACATCCAGTCCAGCCCACGGCACTCCCCAGCCTGCAGAGTGAGTGGGGGTGGGGTGGATGTGGGACACTTACGGACAGAGCTGGGGCAATCAGAGGAGCCCAGAAAGTTCTGAGGGCTGAGGAATCCTGCCTCTGAGTTTGGACTCTTTCCTCCAGGCAGAGAAACTCGAAGACAGCTTTCTTCCCAATAATGGAGAACTTGCAGTCCGGGCCAAACTGGTCTTCCCTACAGGGCCCAGAAAGCTCCAGGAGACCCAAGAAGGTAGGCAGCCTCCAGCCCCATGAATGTCCATCTGTCACTATCTCCAAAGCCTGAACAGCAGGTGGGCTGAGGGCGTCCCTGCTGCCACTCACTGATCCTGCAGCGCTCCAGTAACTTGCCAAGATTTGTAAAGCTCAGCCTGAAAAGTGGGTTCTTGGGACCCATGGTTTGGAAGGGAACAAGGGACCGGAGCAGTCCAGGCCTTTGATGCCCACTTTACAGGGCTCTTAGGACACCAGCTCGGGGGCTTTCCTCCCAGGGGCCTGGCTCGGACAGTCCCGTTGCTGGCCCTCTGGAAGAGGGAGCGCTCCCCTAACCACCTGCATTAGTTGGGAGGGTGACTCCTTGCGAACCGAGAATGCACGTCGAGGCGCAGGGACCTGCCGCCCTGAGTGAATGCGTCCCCGCTCCCAAGTTCCATGAGCTGCTGCCCAGCAAGAGAAGGGATCAAGGACAGGCTCTCGAGGACCCAATGGGAGATTTTACTCAAGTGGAGTGTGTGGAAGAGAAGAAGGTGAAGAAAGAACACAGAACCCCGTGATGTATTTAGTGATCTCTTACTTGCCTGAAAGAGGAAGAGTCTGGGCCGGAGCTCACGGGGCCTCAGGTGGCCCGCACCCTAGAACAGGAGTCTCGGGGCCCCTCCTTTCCCCAAAACCACTGCCTGTCCGCGACTAAAACCTCTACATCCTTCCTCTCCACAGCTCCCTATTATCTTTGTAGCTTCTCAGGATTTTAGGGAGCGCCCCCCCGCCCCCCATCACCGTGTTGGCCTTGCAGGGGGACAGCTTGTGGGCAGCGCCTTCCCCCATGGATAGACTCTTCCTGTCTGATCTCTTGGGCTCTCAAGGCTGTCACACAGGCTCCCGCTGAGCTGTCAGTTTTGGGGTGATGGCATTGCAGGCTCTGTGTGAAGAAGGGCTCACAGCAAATGCCGGCTTTCCTTCCAGGGACAGATGAGCCATCCCCTAACGGTCAGCTTTGTTTGGTCGTGCTGGGAGCCAAGAATTTGCCGGTGCGGTCAGATGGCACCCTAAACTCATTTGTTAAGGGGTAAGTAGTATATTTAATCAACTGTTTGCTGATAATCTATACATACATACAACATGGTCCTAGAAACTACAGCAAACACCAAAAGGTGCAAGCCATTCTGAACTTGTATCTTAGCTTTTCCCTGAAAATCCAACACAATGTGTAGGACTCTGATTTCCAATAATTCGTGGGATTTAGCCCTGCTGAGGCTAGATGCAGAACACTGTATTTTAACCTGAAACCGAGCTTTTAGGTCCTTGTTACTACATCGGCATTTTCGGACTCAGAGCTTGGAGAAAGCAGTGTGGTTGGTACTGTTCCCTTGTCTGATCATCTCCTCTTGGATGAACAGTAAGGTAGGCTCTGCTTATGCCATTCTTACCGTCGGGGTGTTGCTGGGGTCTCCAAAAGTCAAGCAAACACCATTAATTATACAGAACTACTGTGTCCCTGGTGAGTGACATAATGGGAAAGGCTGGCTTACCATGCCAAGATCTGCATTCCTGTCCTCACTCTGCCACTATTGCAGGACCTTGAGCAAGTTATGTGGCCTAATTTCCTGAGAACAGGGTTAAAGTGAGAGAATGTGTGTGTAGAGTCCTGGTGCCTGAGTAGAGGTCTAAGCCATACTTTGCCTGGTGGTCAAGGAGGGGGATTAAAACAAAGGGCACAGTGGCCTGGGATCCCTGCGTCTGGTGAATTCAGCCCTAAATCCGGAACATCCTAGGGAGAGGTCACATGGCCAATCTTAGGATTCGCATTCTCACTCCTTAGAATTTTTCTTTTGGAGTAGATCTAGCCCTTGGTCCCACAATGGCCAGCACCACCAGGGGAGGGGGCCGGGCAGGGCCGGCGTTCCAGAGCCACCGTGTCCCTCCTGCAGCTGTCTCACTCTGCCAGACCAGCAGAAACTGAAACTGAAGTCCCCCGTCGCGAAGAAGCAAGCTTGTCCCCAGTGGAAGCACTCCTTCGTGTTCAATGGCGTGAGCCCTTCCCAGCTGAGACAGTCAAGCCTGGAATTAACCGTCTGGGACCAGGCCGTCTTTGGTGTGAACGACCGCTTGCTGGGAGAAGCCAGGCTCAGTTCTGGTAAGTCTGAGATTATCGGGCCTAAGTGGCATGTTTTATCCTTAACAGAGATCTTACATGGTGACCACCGAAAAGACAGTCATGTTTCCACGTTCGCAGGTGATTTAACTGGCTTGGAAACGGCCTCTCTCACTGTAACTGGAGGCCGCCGCATCCAGGTCTTACCCCGCATGGAGCGGTAACACAGCCAAGTGTTTCAGCCACTTAACATCAGATTTAGATCTGCTAAAGTAACAAAAATTACAGGTCTCAAAATGGCCAGGGTACAGTTTGCTTTTGTCTCTGGCGTCAATCATAAAAGGATTAATTTCTTAAAATATCTTAATCCAAACATGGCAATTCAGAAGTATTTCATTAAGAGCGGGACAAAAGGGTGATGCTTTTCAGTGCTGCTCAGCTGGGGTGCTGCTGGCATCGCGTCGGGGAGAGCCCTTCGTGGGGAGGGCTGCTCACCCTGGTCCCTGTCTACCAGTGGTGCCCCTCAAAACACCGGGCCAACCAAAAACACAAGCACGTCTCCAGGACCTCCAAAGACAAGCCAGATTCACTCTCCAGAGACCCCTGTGCGGTCAGTCCGCTGAGCTTCCTCCAAGTCCTGATCTCAGCATCCTGGGATCAGCCCCCCATCTGGCTCTCTGCTCAGTGGGGAGTCCGCTTGTCTCCCGTCTCTCCCCCTACTTGTGCTCTCCCTCTAAAATAAATGGGTAGATCTTTGAAAATGACACACTCCCCGTCCTGTAAGGGATTCCTTTCCATCTGCAAATCTGGCCCCAGGTCTGAGACCACCTTGCCAAACCACAGCCATCCTGTGTTAGGACATTCAAGTCCCCTTCTTGAAGAGCCAACCCCCCAAAAATGTCTTCTTTCAAACTGTGGGAAAGGCAGCAGCTTTGGGCTCTTGAGGCTGCACAGAATTCAGGGATGGTATGTGTCCTGTTCTGAGTACGGAGTTGGGGTGTTGGGGTGGAGGGGGGCTTGCTCTTCCTCACCAGTGGTTGGCATTTTCATATGGTCTTGAGGTTAAAAATACTTTTACAAAAGTTGGTCATTTTAAAAAGCGGAGGCTGGTAGGGACACCTGGGTGGCTCAGTTGGTTAAAAAGCGGAGGCTGGTAAGGGGGTATGCGTATCACCCCTTACTAATTTGCTGCTTCACCCTCTTCACAGAGGAAGACTCATGCTCACAGTCAGCGCATCAGTGGCAGAAAGTTCTGGAAAGCCCCAATCTGTGGACAGACATGACACTCACCCTGCACTGAAGCCAGGGTTCCAGTCTGTGGTGAGAAGTTCAAGGGCCACGGGCCTGAAGGTTAGCTGAGGACGTGGGCCTGGACACTTGCTGCCTGCAGCTCTGTCACGGAGTCCAAACGTTCTTCCATGTCCCTCTGTATTTACACCAAACAGAGCACTTGTTCTATAAATATGTCTCCGTTTGTTTTTCTGTGCTTTGACACACGTGGAAAAGGGCCAGATTTCAATAAATGTTCGTTATCTCAAACTGAAAATTACGGCCTTGTTATATGCACTGGAAGGAGAACTAGAGGAGCCTGGCGGGTATATCTGGTCCCTCCTGTTCCACATGGTGGAGGGACTCCATTCAGGGTGGTCAGCGCCTAGGTCCAGGGAGAGCCCGCAGGAGGGCCCCCCCCCACCCGCCTCGCCCCAACACGCACAAGGACACACCCACTGCCACCTCTTGCCTTGCACAGCTTTTATTTCTCTAGTCGGTGGTGCGGGGCTCATCTGCGCACGGCTCTTAGCTGAAAAGGAAAAGGACACAGCCGAGCATGAAAGGAGCCAGTGGCAAGAGCGCTCTGACATTCTGACAGGTTTTCAAGGATGTGGCAGAGAACTGGGGAGGTGAGAACAGGTTCTTCTTGTGGTAACAGGGACAATACCAGGTGGGAAGAGTCCCTTCCTAGCTGGAGTCTGGATGAGCCAAACAGCATGTGTCTCTTTTGCAAACAAGCTCGGATAGAAAACCGTCATGTGCACAGTTACAAGCATAAGGAACAAAGTAAGAAAAAACAATCATTTTTACAGATGTGGTTACAGCAGTTATCTACCTCCTTCCTGCCCTCACGTCAGATCAAGTGCCATGGTTACATGGTTTTTAATACGTAATTCTTTTATTCTGTAAAAGGTAACAAAATATACAGAATGAAACTTTCCCTTTTTTAAACTAATGTTACAAACCCATATTGTCACTCATATATAAATACTATTCTCTACAGCTGATCATTAATTAGGTGTGAGTCCAACAAGGTAGCCCTCTGTAAAGCAAAAACAAAACCCAAGTTTCTCCAAGGCTGGAGTGTCCTCCCTGTACTATCATCCCAAACTGAAGGAGCAAAGAAGAAAAATCACTGTGTGCATGTGTGTGTGAATGCTTTAGATGGTTTTCAAAATAATTTCCACCTCTCAAAACAAAAATATACAACGATGGATCCTTCATGGAAATTAAAAAAATCAATCTGAGCTCATTTTAAATGCAGAAGACGGTATGGCACGGACTCTAAGCCACGATGTGGTTTTAATTACACCGAACCTTGTCTCACCACAGCAGGGAGTTTGTTACTCACACTTTACAGGCATCTTTCCTTAATTCAGTCAGTCCCGCTGCAAACACGGAACAGGAAGTGATTCAACAACAGCAGTAATAGAATCAGGCCTGTTTGGCACTATGATACAACGGGGAAAAATAAACCAGGGAAGCGTCCACTGACCCCAGCCTTAGAATATTCCCACTGAAATAACTACTTTTTAAAGGAACTGGAATACGATGAGGGGACGGGGGGTCCTAGATTCAAAGCACTACAAACACCAGCTTCACAGTCTGACCGCGACCTTCCGCAAGCTCAGCCGTGAGGCCCCGCCCCTGCCCCAGTCCTGGCCAGGCCTCACATGGCCTCAAACTCATCGATCCGCTGCTTGGTGTTGCCCTGCCGGATCTGCCGCAGGGTCTTGTACTTGTCCCGGCCTTGCCGCATGTTCTCGTTGTGGATGATGTCATTGTGGGTCCTCTTGTTCTCGTCTCGGGCCTGGGACAGCTCATTCGTCAGGGTCTGGAAGGGGAAGCAGCTCGGGTCAGGTGCGGCTCCAGGGCACGGGGAGCTGGGTGGGATGCCCCCCACCCAGCCCCAGTCCCAGTCCCAGTCCACTGCCAGCCCCGCCCCAGCGCCCTCACCATCAGCTGCCGCTGCACCCGCTCGTTCTTCTCCGCCTCGGTGATGCGCTTCTCCTCGTTGCGGTCATCCAGGATGCCCTCGCTGGACAGCTCGGCGCTGTAGCCCGTGTACTCCGTGCCCTCGTCCTGCAGGTTGTCCTGCACGTGGTAGCTCACTGGCTCATAGACTGGGGGCGGGGGCGGCGGTGGGGCTGTCATCACCAGGTGCAGCTCCTCCTTGGTCTTCACCAGGTCATCTTGGGCTTCTCTGGCCTTTGAAAGCAACCGGCCCACAGGTGACAAGTTGTCACAAACAACCCAGTTTAGACCATTTTTGGAAGAATCCCCTTTTCTCTAACAACAAGGCTTCTGCACCTTCTCTCACTCCTTCCCTGCCTTCCCCGGGGCAGGCTGGATGCACGTGGCCTTAGCGGCACAGAGTGGAGGAGGGGACCGAGGCTGAGAAGCAGCATCCCCGTGCGGGGTCTGCCCAACCTCGTCCGAGTCTGGGGCTCCGGATCCTGCAAGTGATTCTCAATCGTGTGCACAGTACGCAGAGAGAAAGTCATGTCAGAAGTTTGACTTTTTTTTTTTTTTTAAAGAACCGTAACATTTTTTCTGTGTCTAATTCTAATATATGTTCATTGTGTTTTTGAAAAAAGGAGGGAAATTATTAAACAAACAAAGATCCTCCAGCCACTAGAAAATGCCACGCTCCAATTTTAGAGTGCAGCTTTATTCTCTTTCCTTGTGTGGCCACTATTTATCAACCTCCTCACTGTCTGTGGGCACAGTACTCAAGCAGTTTCCTACCTACCCCTAAACCTTCCAGTAACTTCTCTTGGATACACATCCCCAGTCATGCCCACCTCATTGCCACTCCAGCCTGGGAGATGAGCTTAGTTCGAACCTATTCTGCAACCAGCTTTTCTCAGTGAACACTTTTACTAAAAACCTAAGGACCGAAGTCTTTTGCACGCAACCTACGTTCAGGGGGTGGGGCGTACGAGTGGTGAGGAGAGGCACCAAGTGTCCCCAGGAGGGGTCCGTGCAGATGGGGAAGTATGGGCAAGAACAGGTGGGAGGGCAGGGGTGGGGAGCTGCCACAGCTCGGCAGAGGTCTACGCTGGACATATCCAAAGCTCCCCTGGGGGGCCATGGTTGCCCAGTACATGGGGGCTCAGCTGGAGAGAAAAGGCTCTGGACATTGCAATGGGACACAGTTCTTCCTGTTACAGCTACAATTTATTCACCCTCTCCATGGGGTAGTCCTCAGGGCAACCTTCCAGGCTGGCTATTACCCCCCATCTGTAGCAAGGAAATGGAGGCTCAGAGAGGTCAGGCCACTTGCCCCATCACACAGTGAGTAACAGCAGAGTTGGGACCCTTGCACCCATCTCGAGACTGCCAAATCCAGATCTTTCCATGGTGCCATGCTGCATACACCAGTGGTCAGGAGAGGCAGGAAGTCTTGTTTGAGGCGCTATGGCCTGTTGCTAGGAGTGCCCACATGATCAGATTTAAAGCTAGCTCCCGATGGGGGCTGCCTGATGGGGGTCAACAGTCTGGGGTGGCCAGAACAAAGTAGGTGGAAATCAACAAGAGGCTCCTTGTTTCCTGCTAATCCAACAGCGGACTCCCCAGTGCACAGGGCAAGCCCATTCCTATGGGGATTTTGGCCTAAGAAGCACAGCTAGGATTGGCAGAGCGCTACGAGACACCCCAGCCTTTCTCTGCAAGACCCCAGGCCGGCCCCGCCCAGAGTGCTGCACCCACAGACTCACCCTGTGCTGCCACTCCTCCACCTCGTGCTCCTTGCGCCGCCGTGCCTCCTCCAAGAGGGCGATCTTGGCGGTGTACTCTGCCAGCTCTGCGGCCTGGTGGAGGGCATGAAGCTGAAATTATTTCTGGGGTCTTTGGGGAGAGCCCTCTTGCAAATGGACAGCCTCATACTTTGGTGACTGGCCTTGTCTCCACCTCCTCCCTGGTCAGCAGTGCCCACGGCTGCCGACTGTGTCCTCAAGGCCAAGCCTCGCCCAGACCACCACATCTGCCCCCCGACCCCCACCTCGCCCCGACGGCTGCACCATGGCCACCTGAAGCCCATCCCCCAGCATAGCCCCTCCCACCGGGCTTTCCTCTCTCCAGCCAGATCACTTTACAACCCCAGACACAATTGTAAGGCAGGTGTCACTTCTTCATCCCCAGAGGCAGCCTCTCCATAATTCAGCATCGTAAAACTCAGGGAGCTCCTACCAGCTGCTCCTGGCTCTTTATCTGATCTGCTGCCTGCCTCTCCAGCTCCTCCTTGGCCCGCAGAGCGGCCACGCGGTCAGCCTCCAGGCGCTCGGCCTCCTCCTGGGCACGCTTCCTCTCCTCCTCCAGCTGCAGGGCTCTCTGAATCTGGTCTGACAGTTCTAGAGAAAGCACAGGCCCCTGAATTCCCAGCCTGGACGCATGGCATGGGGTCCAGGTCGAGACTCATACCACAAGCTATGAAGCACTGAACGGGGGAACCTCTGTACAGTGGGGTGCGTTCCCTACTGCACACACACCGTACTTGCGGCAGTTAGAAACTGCTAGGGAGGGTTTCTCCCTCCCCTGGCCAGGGCTGGGGTAGACTGGCGGACACACGGAAACCACACCACTCTCTCAGGTCTTAGTTTGTAAGACAGGGGGCAATGGAGCATGGTTTGGGCACTCACGCTGTTGACGTCAGGCAAATTAATTTACCTGGTAAACCTTAACACTGTCATCGGAAAAATGGGGATAACTCAGTACTAACCTCAGAGGAGGGAGAGAAAATTTAAAAAGATAATATGCATAAAGCATTCAGCACAGAACCAGCATAGCATGGAATGTATCAAGATAATCAAAAGATTATCTTCTAATCCAAACACCCATGGTCAGCTCTCAGCCTTGAGCCTCTACGGTGGGTGCTCTGTTAACTGAGACCTTGCTGGCTGTGGGTGTGCCGACAGCCCATCTGCCCTCGCTGCGGAGCGCACCCCTGCACACACGAGCACTGGGTGCAAACCCACCTTTCTCTGCCTTCTTGGTTTTCTGCTCGTAGTCCTGCAGCCTGAGCATGAGCTCCTCCTTCTCCCGCATCATCTGCTCCTTCTCTCTCTCCACAGTCTCTCTCCTCTTCTTCTCGGTTTCCAGCTGCTGCCTGTTGGGGGCAGGGGGCACAGGAAGGTTTAGACGCGGGCAGACACCTGCCCTGTCAACACAGTCCAGGCCCCAGGAGGCAGCAGCAGCAACCCTGGGCACTACCCTCCTGGGCTCTGCCACTGCCCGGCCCAGCAAGGCAGCTCCTGGGGCGGACCCTCAGGCCCACACAGTAACTCCCGAAGGCCCCGGTCCCTGACGCTCCCCCTGTGTCTGTTGGGTGGTGCTCCCCTGGCTCCTCTGATGCGGAGCCGTGTGGGCCCCACAGATGCCGCCTGTCGGGCCCGGATGTCATGCTGGCCTCTGCCCCGCTCACCGCTCCAGC